CGCATCAAGACACTAACAAAGAGTTATTACTGGTCCTGGCAGACACTTCTGCAAGTCATTTCGTGATGGTTGCTCTACTAATTTATTTGCTGTACTAGTAGGGAAAGGTTTTCTGACATCCGAGATGGTGCATCGCCAACAATAAGGAATGCGCTGAGATCTTCAGAGCTCACAGCTCTTGTGTTTTGCTCACTCTGTGGCTTTCACTCTCACGAAAGTCCTGAGGTTTGCTGAAAACTGTTTGGGGCCATTATTAAGGCTTATTACAATGGTCTTAAGTGGCCTGCCCGCCTTCCCTCCCATCTCCGAAACCGTCTTATTTGAAACTAGACCCCGCTGCATTGCTATAGTCTGAACTGCTTTTACTTGAAAGCTCAATGAGATCACATATGCAGGCAACAGGAGCTTTAAACACGCCTGCTAGCTAACCTAGTAGGATTTATGTCTGGATTTATGTTTTTAGTCTTGCTTGGTTTTTTATCTGTTTGAGTCGCCTTGAGTTCCTCGGGGGGAAAGGTGGAGTATAAATAAATATATAATAACATCATCACCAGGACTTAAGATGATGGCCCATCTAGTCTCGCATCCTGTTCTCACAGTGGCCAACCACGTGGCAATGGGAAGCCAGCATGCGGGACTTGAGCACAACAGCACGCTGTGTGATTCCCATAGTGCCTCTCGGATAGTGGAGGCAGAACATAGCCATTTGGGCTAGCAGTATCCTCCATACATTGGTCTAATTTTATTTTAATTGGTATTCATTGGTATACCTATGTCCTAAATCTTCCAACATTCAGCTTCATTGGATACCCCTGAGTTCTAATAATATGTGAGAGGGAGGGAAAACTTTTTTCTCTAAATATGTTTATTTCTCCACACCTTGCAGAATTCCATGCACCTCTAATGCAAATAAATGTGCACAGGATCGCACCACACTTTCCTCCGAGTTCAGTGCGTGGCTTTTCCGTGGCATTTTCCCTTTACTCGTGCAGCAAGGCAGTGTGGTGTAGTGCTTAGAGTCTCCCGGGGATACCTTGTTTCAAATGCCCACGCAGCCAGGAGGTTCACTGGGTGACCCTGGGCCAGTCGCCAACTCTCAGCTTGGCCCACCTCACAGAGGTCAGTTAAACGGGATAAATGGGAGAGGGAGCATCATCGGAGACTGCAAATAAATGCCCCATCCGAGTCAGTAGTGTGGATGCTAACTGGGAGTGGCTCTCCGGGGTTTCAGATTTGGGGATGGCAGGACTTGAACCCGTGACCTTTTGCGCGCAAAAAACGTGCGCTCTGTCACTCACCGCCTTGAGCTCCTTGGAGGAAATAAAAATGCTAGGAACCCCACAATGTGCCAATGGATAGGTCTCATCTCTGTAACTCGCTGATAGCAATGTTGTATCCAAGATCTTTGAGACTTGATCTAAACTGCAGGTGCTTATTGCAGTTTTGAGTCCCGGAGCACTGAAGGCTGAAAGGAGAGAGTTCGCCTTTAATGAGGGCGGCGCGCTTGAATTCGGTTCACACAGTTCGGTATATGCTTGCCCGGCCACGTAGGCTTCCGCAGGGGGACCCCCCTCCTCCTCCTGCAGCTGCTGCCACTTTCTATGGATTCTTCATCGAACCAGCCGAAGCCTGACGTTATTCTCCGTCCCCGGCGAAGGATTTGTTTTGGAACTTGATGCGCTGGCGCTGCTCAAGCACAGAACAAATGAGGGGCTTGCGGAGAGTCAAGCGACCCCTTCCGCTCCTCCTTCTTGTCAATGGACCAGCTCCTCTCTCGAACTCATTTACCTGCTGAGGTCGATGAGACCATCAATTGATGACGATAATAATAATAATAATAATAATAATAATAATAATAATAATAATAATAATAATAATGGCAAACCCAATTCTTCCCATGCCACTCCGTAGGCAGCCAAAGGAGCACCACGCACGCTCAGGGTTGGTTTACACAAGCACCAACAAAATTTAGAGGAGGAGGAAAAGGGAGGGAGGGCCACGTTCTCTAGTATTTCAGGCGGCTTGTTAAAATGGGAAATTGGCGATTCCCTCCGCCTTCAGCTGGGCCAGCATCCAAAGTAGTGTTTTGTCGTGGGAATGCCCTTGAGCATGTACAGAGTGCCTCGCCGAGTATCACCCTCCACATCGAGCCTGAGTGCTTCTGCAATGAAAGCATGGGACGAAGAGAGCGTCATTTCCCAATGAGCTTGAGCCCCGGAAGGTCTCTCTTTTTGGGAGGTAGTCTTTAAGGTCCCCACCCGCTCCTGCTCCTGCCTGTGAAGGGGGCGGAGGGAGAGTCAGGCCTCTCCCAGCTTGGCAAAAGAAGGGTGCAATCGGGCATCGACATTTCCACCACTGTTTAGAAATAGCCAGCACTTTCCTTCCCATTAATCTTTAGTAAGGAAAGAGTTCAGACTGCACCTGTATAAACAATCCGGAGAAACGGAGAGGCGAAACCTACACATCTAACCTCCGGGATATGTGTGTGTGTGTTGATACGGCTCTTCCGCGGGTGCTCTTCAGGATCGGGCTTGTGGCACAGCCAGCCAGCCACCTGCTTGGGAGAAGAAGCCGAGACAGGGCTTAGGGGCCGGTGTCAGCGCAAGTTCAGCGCCTCCAAGTGCCAAGTTGGACGCCGGGTGCATTTCAGAGCTTCTTCCACCGATATTCTTGGCTTGGGAGAGAGTTGCCCGTGAAAAGAAGGGGAGGGCAGGCTCCGAATAAAGAACGGCATTTTCTAAGAGCAGGAAGGGGGGTGGGAAGGGGAAACCTCCCTGAGACACCAGGGTTGCAAAATCCAGCTAGAAAGCGGCTCCATCGTGGGAAGCGGTGGTGCCAGGAAGCGCAACGCCAGGGAGGTGGCGGCGGTGCCAACGCCAGTCTGGTGGGAAGGCGGATGGAACGAAAAGGTTGCAGATGCAGGAATTCGGGACCCAGATCCCCACCTGCTGCGGCCGTCAGGGGCGGAGGAACACCCACAGCCCCGGCCCCGCTGCGCCAGGGAACTTTCTTCGCCCGACCGCAGGGGTGGGTCACGTTGCGAAGATCCTATTCATGTTTGCGCATTCAGAAATTAGGTCCCACGGGTTTGGGAGGGGAGTTGATCCAAAGAAAGTGTGTGGAAGGTCGCAGCCTCGGACTTTGAGCGGGAGGCCATGAGCAGCAGTTCACAAGGGGAGTGGGATTGCCTCCCTGCCCTGCGGGAACGGATCCCTGGGGCTGAACGATTCTGAGCCGAACGCTTTTTAAGCGTTTTGTTTCGGAAGCATTTTTTTTTAAAGCTGTTATAAATTGTCTCCTCCTGTTTTTAGCCTGCTGGTCGCCTTAAAAATGTGTGTTTATAGATTGGTTTTTCGTTTTAGCATATCACTTTTTAAACAATTGTATATAGCCACTTTGGTGCAGTTATGGAGACAAAGACGCACTGGAATAAATACAAAACAAGCATTTTATTCGTTGGATCATAACCTCTGAATGCTTTGATGCCCTCCAATAAATGATGGTTCCACTCCACTGAAGGAGCTGCTGATTAATTTGAGAAAATAAAAAGTGCGGAGGATGAGTCAAGTTTACCTAACAGTCACACTCCTGTCCGTAAAACAAATCCTAGATTGGGTGGGTGGTTGTATTTACTCGCTGATGAAGCAGGAGCAACCTGCACATGTTCAGTGGAACCCATAATTTTCTTATCCTCTGGCATATTACAAGGCTGTGTGTCTTGAGCTCTGCCAAAGCACTCCTGATGTGAACGGGCCTTATCTCCAAGTAACGTGAATGACAAGCAAAAGGCGATCATTGTTTGTGTCGCTGGAGCGTAAATTTCCAAATCGTTTGTAGCCATTTCCCATAACATCGCGATTCTATACGAATTGCTTTTGTTTTCACTGGGATTCACTTCCAGGCAAAGGGCGATTTCTACATTTTCGTTTTCTACATTCCCTTTCTGTTACAGATAATGGCAAAAATCCTGTGGATTTCAGAGGAACTTGGCTGAACATGCTTAGCTGGGGCGGCCCTTCGTAGGCATCTGACACAAATAAAAGGAGGGCTACTGCCAACGAAACTGCTCAGGCTTGGATGGCGTTACTTAATTTTTCAGCTCTAGAATAAGTCATTTAACCTCTTTAGCCTTGCAACGCCTAGCTTCTGCCCTACCTATAACCAAAAACGTTGGTAACAAATAAGATAATCAAAATCTGCAGCAGGTACAAAATCGACCATATAATAATCCGTTTGCCTCAGTGTGCATTAGGCAGCAATTGTGAATGATCGGATCTTTTTTCTTTTTAAAAACTCGGCCTTTGAACTCTTAAGAGCTCGGTCAGTTCACAATATCCATGAAATTTGGAAAAAAACATTTTTCCCCTCCTTAACCCGATCCTACTCATTTTTTACTATATTATGAAACTTCTCAGCATAGGCTCGTTTCCACCATCTCTATTCTGAACACATTTCTCAGAAGTCCATTTTCACCTTTAGTGGATGCGCAATTCTATCCATGTCTACTAAGAAGTCCCCTGGTTTTCACTTACTTTCAGGTAAGTGGGGTTAGGGCTACAGCCCGCATTAGGATGCCAGTTAAAGGGAGTGAGACCATCAGCCTAAATCGAAGTGATTTGGCCTTCGAAAGCAATGCGCTCCAAGGCTTCCCGCAGGCATCAGGTTGGCGACCCCCGTGGGAAGCCATATGCTGGCCTGGAAAGGGATTTGGCCTGATTCAGGCAGGGCTCCTCTTCTTATGGGCCCGTTTCATGCCAACTTCAGATCCCCTTTGCCTAGCGAGCAGCGCCACCCAACGCCACTCCTCTCTCCTAGCGGCGCCCAGGGACCGAGTCAGGGCGCACCCAGGGCGCGCAAAACTAAAATAAAAACCCTTCCACAATCTGCAGGACTTTCCTTTGGCAGGATGCTGACTGTCCCTCGAGAGTCCCTTATTAGCTGATTTTTACTGGCTGGAAATCTCCCCCTCCCACCCCGACGGCAAGGGGAGGAGGAGGAGGAGCAGCAGCACCCCCTGCTCAGGCGGCCAAAGCCTCCGCGACCCAGGCGGGCGCCCTGGAATGGAGCGCGCGCCGCCCTTAGAGCGCAGCGTCGCCCAGGCAGGCAGAACCTCCCAGGTCTAGAGGGGCGGGGGGTGACTCGGGCAGGAGTCTCCCCCGCGCGCCGCCACTCGGGCTACGTGAGCGCGAGGCCTCCCCCCGGTTGCCCCACGCAGATGGTACGCCCCGCTGTGGCGCGTATATATCTATCTATACATATAGCCCTGTCAGGAGACGGTCCCCGCCAAGCCGTCGAGCAGCTTCTCTCGGGGGGTGGGAAGCGGAGTCTTCGTCGGCGGGGACCCGCTCGCCGCTCTGCCTTCCTCCTTCTCCTTCCCGCCCCACTTCGGCGTGTGGGGCTGGGTCATGTCTACAGGCTCCCTGAGTGACGCCGAGGAGCTGCCGGAGATGGACCTGAGGGGGCTGCAGCTCGACTACCCGGGGCCGCCCCGCTCCAAGCGGCGTCCCCGAGGCGAGCCCTGCCCTTCGGCGGGAAACTCCTCCGCCGCGGAAGAGGAGGAGGAGGAAGAAGACGACGACGAGGAGGAAGACGCGGAGACGAGCTGTGGCGGCAAGAAGAAGCGAGCCAAGGGAGCGCCCGCGGCGGGAGGAAGCAACGGCGGCGGCGGGAAGCGTCCTCCGGCGTCGGGCCGCGGCGGCCCGGTAGCGGCCGAGTGCAAGCAGACGCAGCGCAACGCGGCCAACGCGCGCGAGCGAGCCCGCATGCGCGTGCTGAGCAAGGCGTTCTCGCGCCTCAAGACCAGCCTGCCCTGGGTGCCCCCGGACACGAAGCTCTCCAAGCTGGACACGCTGCGCCTGGCCTCCAGCTACATCGCCCACCTCCGGCAGCTGCTGCAGGAAGACCGCTACGAGAAGGGCTACGTGCACCCCGTCAACCTGGTAAGAGCTACTCGCGGGAAGGCGCCCGCGGAGCAAAGTTGCTGTGTTGTTGTTGTTGTTGTGGTGGTGGTTTAGTCGTTTAGTCGTGTCCGACTCTTCATGACCCCATGGACCAGAGCACGCCAGGCACTCCTGTCTTCCAAGGCCTCCCGCAGTTGGGTCAAACTCATGCTGGCAGCTTCGAGAACACTGTCCAACCATCTCGTCCTCTGTCGCCCCCTTCTCCTTGTGCCCTCCATCTTTCCCAACATCAGGGTCTTCTCCAGGGAGTCTTCTCTCCTCATGAGGTGGCCAAAGTATTGGAGCCTCAGCTTCAGGATCTGTCCTTCCAGTGAGCACTCAGGGCTGATTTCCTGAAGAATGGATAGGTTTGATCTTCTTGCAGTCCATGGGACTCTCAAGAGTCTCCTCTAGCACCATAATTCAAAAGCATCAATTCTTCGGCAATCAGCCTTCTTGATGGTCCAGCTCTCACTTCCATACATCACTACTGGGCACGTTAAACCAAGGGTGCTTCTGAACACATATAGAGCGCGCCTTTTCTGTCGCCACAGAATCATGCCAGGGCTTGCACATCTATGGTTCAATGTCAAGAGTTTGCAGACCAGGAAGTGGTGTGTAGGTGGGCACCTCAGGCTCCTTGAATTTTAAGCACCGTACAGGGATCATGAAAAAAAAGTCCCAGGAATTTAAGCTATATGGGCAACCTATATGAACCTGAACCTGGCACCTGCCACTTTAGGAATTCTTGTTTGGCTTTTTCCTAGACACAGGTGATTAGTTAATATGATCCATATCTGCCTATTAAGATCTAATTTGTTTTTAAAAATCAGCCTCCTGTTTTGTCAGAGGAAGCAGTTAAAAATATCTGGTAGTTTACTCCTGTAGACATTAGTGGCTAAGCAGCAACCCCCAGTTGTTTTCTAAGGCAACAAATGGAACTTTTGAGAATCATTCATTCTCTCAGTATACACAAATTACTGAAAACTAGAAAGAATGTAATAGTTGTAATAATACACATCTGTGCTGCAGACATGGGAACTGTAGTAGCCTTAGAGTTGGAAGTGCTTTATCACCTGCTAACCATGTTGATAATGCACAGCAAAAGGCGACTCATGAGTTTTTGTGTAAGCTTGAGTGGATGAAAAAAAATCTCAGTGATTTTATTTAAATCTGAGGTGAGAAAATTGTGGTTCCCTGCTCTCCTCATCTCTGACAGTTGGCTGCACTGGCTGGAGCTGATGCAGCTGGAATCCACCACTGGCTGGAGGACCAGAGGTCCCCCATCCTTGATTACATTGTATTCCGAAGGAGGCTTGAACTTCTGACTCCTTTTCCATGTTGTCAGTAGGAGCTCTGTCTATGGATTCCCACCTGTCTGTGGAGAGTTCTCTTCCTGGGTTTTAAGCAGTTGTGGGTCTACTAGCACAGCAGTGGAGTGTATCTTTTGTGCTTGTCTCTGAAGCACAGTATTTTAAAGCCCTGAAATGCTAACCTGTTCAATTTGCACCTAGAGAAACACAATTGCTTCGTTGGATGAGATGATGAATCTTCGTCTTGTTTAGCTTTCTCTTTCCAGCAGTGGCCAAGTTTGGTCAGAAGTGGAGCATGGAAGTGATGGCTGTCCTTTAATGTGTCCCAGAATAGGTACACCTGTTGCTAGCTTAATTTATAATCTCTGTATTCTTTTGGTAATGGATTCGCTAAGTTATGTATTAGGTAAGGAATTACTTTTGCCTGTCCTGACCCCACAACTGATTTTTGTTGGATGGTCCTAATTTGAGAGAGGGGTTTCTTGCTCTTTTTCTCCATGCAGTTCCTAACTTTTAAAACCTCTAACATGGTCACTGGTTTCTAAAGGACACAACCTAAATCTCCCTGGGTTTTCTTTCATAGGGAAGATGCTCCAACCCCAAGTATGCATGGTGAACATCTAAGTATACATGGTTAGGATTGATTCCTCAGGTCCAAGAATACTGAAACAAAATACTTGATTTTATGATGTGGATCTGTTTCTGGCAGAATATTATTCATATGCAGATTTTACTCATGAAAGCTCTTATGATTTCTTAATCTGTCTGACACACTTAAAATATACATCTGTGTAAAAAACTGCATCAAAGCTTAAGTTGCACTTAGTACATTCATAACTTGTGCCTCTTCTAAGGAAGTCTGTCAAGTTCTAGCTTCACAGTGAGCATGTGAACTAGATCAGGCCAGAAACATCTTGTTCTTCAAGGCCATACAATGAGCTTAGTAGCCACATGGGGATTTGAATTTGAGCTTCATATATCTAGACCCATTCACTTGAACCTCTTCTCTGTTCGAAAGACAGTTGTAGTCATTTTCAACAAAGCTAATGTGTGAACAAGCTGCAATAGTCTTATACACCTCCATAAAGGAATGCTTTTAAAATCAATGAAAAAAATCCTACTGAACTTCAATGTAATATTATCTTGAATATATATTTTGCCAATGTGTGTCAGTTCTACAGAAAGTAAGGACAGGAGAGAGTGTTTAAATTAACAACTAGGTTCTTTCTGTTCTGTGAATGGGGGTAAACTTGAAATTGGTAGCAGGCTTCAGCCCCCCCCCCCAGTTGCTGTCATGAGTAGTCTACTTACACTGACAGTGTAAGCACCAGATTTCAAGGCTCTGCTTTTACAAAAAGAGAAATTGTTAAGTCAAAATACCAATAACACGTGGCAGAAGTTTGCCTAATCACCTTGAAACATCAGATAAGTTTGTAAAGAGAATTTTGCATTTTGCTTGGCCAACAGACCAAAACAAACTGAGGAAAACATCTTGCATTCTGCTGGACCAACATACTCTTCTGGGTTGCCTTGCCTTGTGTTATTTTGGAATAAAGCAGAGGAGAGTTATGCATACAAAACCAGATTGAGGTTCATTAGTGTTTGCCAAGGGGTATAGGCTGCAGTTAACAGCGTAACGTGAGAAAAGTTTTAAGCCTTCAGCACTTTTTCTCCCAGCAGAATCAGACACCTTAAAGAGAAAGTTAATGTGATTCAAGGGGTGCTGTGTGACTTTTAAACACCCTTTCAAGAAAATGCTTTTGAGTTTTTTCTTGAAATGGGGACTGGAACAGAAATAGCAGTAGGATTTTTGTTGTTTGCATATTTTCGCCTTTTTGTCTAACATTGAATACTGCTTTAATTTCAGACCTGGCCATTTGTGGTTTCAGGAAGACCAGAAAGTGATACCAAAGAGGTTTCAACAACCAACAGATTATGTGGAACTACAGCTTAGTTAAAGTAAGCAATACTATTGCTGGATATGCTTACATACCATCCTGACTTGTATGGACCAAAACAAACTGATGCAAAGAAATCAAGTCTGCTCAGTGTTTAAGCCCTCTCCTTGTTCATTTCGAAGGGAAAATGCACTCAAAAATATAATGAAGAAGGAAAGAGGGAATTTGCTGAATTTTCTGCTTCAGCTAAACTGGCGGGTTTGGAAAAACATTTTTCTGCATCGTTACCTGAAGAAACTGTTCCAAAGCCTTTTTGACTAACTGAAGATATACAGGAGGACAACTCCACTAGCATTAACAGCATGGACCAAAAATATAGATTGTACAAGCTAATCCCAAACAGTGTTATTTGTATGCCAAAATGAAAGTGGTATTCTAGACTAGTGTGCAAAACTCAAAATTTATAATATATTTGATCTTATGTTCTTGGCAGCTATGCAATAGTAAGACTACTTCTATCATTTTAGCCATGTTAAGAAACAAAAAAACCCTAAGATGAAAAGGTAGAATCCAGCTGCTCCTTTACAGCCTGCTCCACAAATGTAGTTAATCAAGTGAATTTAAGCCGAACCATATCCATTCTCAATGAAGTTGTTGCAGCTAAATTTTCTTCTATGCAAGTATGAGGTCTTAAGTAGATCATGGATCAAAGTCGTTGGTAAATTCTTGTTGGATGAGGGCTAGTGATCACATTTTTGTGTGGATTACTCTCAGTGGGATGCATTCAGCAAAGATGCGTGAAGTTCCCTTAACCTGAAACAGGAAGCCTGTTCACTTCAGACTGGGGAAGAAGTGCTATCAAGGAGGTGGTACTTTTATTATGGTTTAGGAGATTTGGAAGGGACGCGGGTGGTGCTGTGGTCTAAACCACAGAGCCTAGGGCTTGCCGATCAGAAGGTCGACTGTTCGAATCCCTGCGACGGGGTGAACTCCCATTGTTCAGTCCCAGCTCCTGCCCACCTAGCAGTTCGAAAGCATGTCAAGTGCAAGTAGATAAATAGGTACTGTTCTGGCAGGAAGGTAAACAGCGTTTCCGTGCACTGCTCTGGTTCGCCAGAAGCGGCTTCGTTATGTTGGCCACATGACCCCAAAGCTGTCTGTGGACAAATGCAGGCTCCCTTGGCCTATAGGGCGAGATGAGCGCGCAACCCCAGAGTCGTCCGCGGCAGGACCTAATGGTCAGGGGTACCTTTACCTTTACCTAGGAGATTTGGAACTTCCAAACCTGCTGTGTTTTCCCCACTTCTCTCAAGCCTTCAGGAGTTCCTTTTGCGAATGATGTAGTAACCAGTATTTCAAATGTAAATAACTCTATTTTTATACATGATATTAAAAGCTTTGTTGCAAGGATACTGTGAATTCTTAGTCATGGTTTGAGGGGGAAATCCCAATTGCTGAAAAACCCAGAAATAATCATAGAATTGGACTTAATGGCTGCAATCTGCAGTGGAGCAAACTGATTAACAGAGTGTGTTGGAGCATTTATTGACCTTGCCTGGAATGGGAAGTTGTGTGTGCGCGCATGTACATGAAAAGGAGAGGGGTGTCACTTCATCGTGACAAGATAGTTGGCAGTATTGTTGAAAATTCAGGTAAGTAATTTTTCTTGGAGGTGGAGAAACACTGAAGTGAAAATAATTGATCTTTGCCACTGTGGACACCAGTGATGTCCTCTTTTGCAGTTATTCATTTGCATTGGGAAAGATTCCTGAGCTTCCCCAGTTGGAAGCAAATTACCGTATTTTTCGCCCCATAGGACGCACCGCCCCATAAGATGCACCTAGGTTTTTTTTGGGGGGGGGAATAAAGAAAAAAAAATATTTCCCCCCCAGGCGCGGGGCTGGCGCGGGGGAAGCCCGAGCTTCCCCCGACCCCAGCCCCCAGAACAGGCTGCTGCCTGCAAGCCTTGCGAGCCCGGCGGGACCTCCTGCCCGGCGCGCAAGGCTTGCGGACACCTTCCCGAAGCACGGGGCGTCCTCTGGAGGGCGCCCCGTGCTCCGGGCTGCAGGCTGCTGCCCGAAAGCCTTGTGAGCCCGCAGGAACTCCCGCCGGGCTTGCAAGGCTTGCGGATAGCTTCCTGAAGCCTGGAGAGCGAGAGGGGTCAGTGCGCACCGATGCCTCTCGCTCTCCAGGCTTCAGCGAAAGCCTGTATTTGCCCCATAGGACGCACACACATTTCCCCTTCATTTTTGAAGGGGAAAAAGTGCATCCTATAGGGCGAAAAATACGGTATTCCTCTTCCAGATCACAGATCCTGAAATGCTTTGTTTTCATAGCATTTCTTGTGGCTTGCCTCACAAGTAGTAATTGGAACTGGTGATTACAGTGACATTTTGAAGATGCTTTATCCCTATAGCTCAGTTGCTGGACAGCAAAAATGACTGCTTCCCCCAATAACATTGGTGAAAAAACTTTTTTGTGCACAGATATCTCTGGTTCAACTCATTGAACTTCATTTCACCTCCAGATAGCATTCTTTATGGACAATTGTTTTTACAACACAATGATCTGGTATTCACTAAACAAGAGAAGGCTGAAATCAATTAATTGTATAGTAGAAATTATAATCCATTGCATAGATTTACCTTTGAGTTTAGGTTGTGTGATAAAATAACGTGAAATGGTGACTTCTGCTGTACTTGGAGAATTTCTGTTGAAGAAAGGTGAGCAATACAACATTTCCTTATTCACATAACTCTTGTCTACTTTTCCCTTCTGCAGAGAAAAATCAAATAGCTAAATCAAATGCTTTCATTTAACATAATAAACATTGGGCTCACTTTTATTTGCAGTCACAGTGAACGAGAGAGAGAGAGGAGATTGTTCAACCATTTCTATTAGGTGCTGTGTGAAAAGCTTATTTCTTGGCCTGGGCTATTCTCTGGAACTGAGCCCAGCTGCAATTGGGTAACAACTCTTAGAGATTGAAGAAACAAGAGAAAGAATAAAACAGTTTAAATAACATACTGGAATGAGTGTGAAGCAGTTAAATAGGGATGTGAGATGGGGAGACATTATGGTTTGGATCTTAACTAGGCTTCCAGCAATGGAAAGTCTTCTCCTGTTCATGAATGCAACTGAGATCATCAGCTGGCAGAAGCAGCACGACAGTTCCTCCTCATTTCCTTGAGCTGTCTTTCAGGCTGCTCCAGCGGGGGGGGGGGGGTGTTCTAGTGTTCTTTCTCCCTTCCAGTAGCAGGAATTTCCCAGGAGTTGAACTCTGCTCAGAGACTACTTTGGCCACTAGGACCAAACTGAGGGTCCTAGCCATTTTTTTGCATGAAATAGCATGGTTCTATATTTATCATTTTTGCAAAAACAACAACAACAACTATACTGCAAACATTAAGAGCAATGAAAAACATAAAAACAACAATAAAATTGCATTCATAAAAAGTATAATACACATGACAAATCAAAATATTGTATGAATACAATATTTGGGAATGCCTGTGTGAACAGATGAGTTTTAAGCAGGTGCTTAAATAACAGGACTGCAGCTGCTTGCCTGATGCTCACTGGATGTGCATCCCAAAGGGAGATATCGCCACATAAAGGCCCTGGTCTTACAAAGATGAACCTTGGAATGTTCATCTATATGGATGTTGCTTGTTCTTGTTCAAATGGTTCTTGGGAGGAAAATGGTTTTTTGTAGAATTTTCTGCTTTCTATCATTTGCTATACTGGCTGAGGTTGACCAGAAGACTTTTCGAAGACACCAGGTTGGGAAGGCCTGCTGTATGAAATCCTGCCTTGAAACACACACACACAAACACACACACGCCTGCAACTTGCTGCAGGGCAGATGGCTATGTTAAGATAATGGATCTGTGATTAACTGGAATGCATGTGCCCATTCATTACCACAACACACCTGTTATTTCTCCTAGTGGGTGATTTGGGAATAACATGCCCTGTGCATGACTGAAGGAACAGCTTCAGGTAAAATGCATGAAAGTCTTACATCACCTTATATGTCACTGTAAAACAGCCCAATTCTTAGCTACTGCAATAAAATAAATCAGCAGTAGATGATTTTGCACATGGCCCTGTTTCAAACATGGTTGAGTTTCTCCTAGACAGTGTAGTCCTATGCATATGTTGCACAAATATAAGTTCCAGTGTGTCTGTGGTGCTTTATTGCACTTAAGTTTGGAATTTGAAAATCTTAATCTCAGGGTCATGGGTTCAAGACAAACATTGGCCAAAAATATTCCTGCATTGCAGGGGGTTGGACTAGATGACCCTCGTGGTCCCTTCCAACTCTACAGTTGTATGATTCTATACTCTAAACTAGGGATGCGGGTGGCGCTGTGGGTAAAACCTCAGTGCCTAGGACTTGCCGATCGCATGGTCAGCGGTTCGAATCCCCGCGGCGGGGTGAGCTCCCGTCTTTCGGTCCCAGCTCCTGCCCACCTAGCAGTTCAAAAGCACCCTTAGGTGCAAGTAGATAAATAGGTACCACTTTATAGCGGGAAGGTAAACGGCGTTTCCGTGTGCTGCTCTGGTGCCGGTTTGCCGGAGCAGTTTCGTCACGCTGGCCATGTGACCTGGAAGTGTCTGCGGACAGCGCTGGCTCCTGGCCGCTAGAGTGAGATGAGCGCACAACCCTAGAGTCTGTCAAGACTGGCCCGTATGGGCAGGGGTACCTTTACCTTTACCTTTATACTCTAAACTAGTGATGGATGGATTTGTAACTTGTTCACCAGCTTACAAGTCAAACGGTATAAACTCAGACAAAAGTTCTCTTGATGGATGAAGCTCAAACGATCTTCAAATGTTTGCACACGCACGTTGCCAAAGCGCATTTTGGGAATGTAGTGTGTTACATGTTCTTTTCCACGTTCTTCCACCAACTGCAGACTGGTGCAGAGTAGAAGAAGATCAAGTTGTGTTCGTGACAAAAATGCCCGTAACTAAAGAGTTGTAGTAAAATTTTTCTGCACGTGCATGGCAAATGGGACTTTTCATTTCCTTCAGAATGTGTAAAAGGTTGCGGAAACAAAACAACTGAGCATGTACAAAATGGTGGAGTTGGGCTACTTAGCCATGTCAGTCATACAGGATAACAAATAAACTTGTAAGCAACCAGTTTCAATTATGAAACGATTATAAGTTGTTGGATTGAAATCAGAGTTTTTAATACATTTGTGAATTACGGACGTACTAACATTCATTTACGGACTAACTAATTTTGAGATAGAGTGGTGTCATTGCCCTGACATAATTTATATCTTCAAAAACATTGCACTTTAGTGCATTTGCTCTATCTATTTTTTTCTTACTGGATTAGAATGTTAGAAATCTTAGTCTTCTTTTAATGATCTTATCCTCTAATTATAGTGAGAAAGGACCAAACTTGTGTTATAAATGAGCATGTTCATAATTCATTTAAAGTTTACTGGTTCCTACAACTCACGCCTGGTGGTGCCTTCTGTTCTGAATATTTTTTTGCTGGTCACCTATGAATAAAGTAAATAAACCTAA